CAGGTGAAAACTACATCGAAATAGAATCAAGTATTATATCGAATTGTATACAACTTTGACTAACGCTTTTTTTTTATATAGTTTTTCAACAATGAAATGCAATCGATTTTTAATAAACAATCTTGATTTTTTTTGTATATTACATGCATAGAAAAGTTTAAAATTGTATATCTATGTCAGTAATAAAATTTAATCTCAAACAAATAAAAAAAAATCGAATGTAAGAATATCAAGTATTTAGCTATAGTCTGAAGAAAAAAAACAAAGAGTTTAACACAAAAAGATTCTGAATTTTTAGATGACCATAGTGTATTTTAGACTTTTATAATGTAACTGACCTTGCAAAACTAAAAGAAAAAAAAAGACTACTGTTTAGGAAACAATAAGATGAAGATATCATGAAACTGCGACAATGTAGGACAAACTTATATGATGAACTTCTAATAATATGATTTATAAGTAAATATCATAAAGTTTATCTATTATGATTATGAATCGGTATACTTAAAGTAATAATTAAATACTCAATATGAGATCAAACTAGACCACAAATATTATTATCAATTCTTATTATAACTTTAGATACATCGCATCAATAAGATCAAGTCAAGTTTTTAGGATTTTTTTTCTTTCGTATGAACATACATGAAATAAATATTTATTTTTCTTTTGTAAAAGGTAAATTAAACTCTAGTTATATTTTCTGTTGTACATGATGGTGGCGATTGCCATTTTATTTGATTATAGAAAATAGAACATGAATGATTATTTATTGATTTGATATATCTAATATTATAATAAGAATTATAACTATAGTTGCGATTTAGCTTGATATAGTATTGATTGTGTAATTATTGTTCTAATTACACTAATTCATATTTATTCTAAATAGAATTTATGATATTAATTTATAAATCATACTATAATAGGTTCTTAATACATATTAAATCATGTGTTGCATTATTGTACTTTCACAGTATCTTCATCTTATTGTTTCTCCAACTATAATCTTATTTGTCTTTTTTTCCTTTGGTTGTGTAACGTATCTCAAATTCTCCAAATCTAGAAATTATAGTGGTCATCTGCGAGATCAGAAGTTCCTTTTTTTTGTTCTTTCGTATAAATATATAGTAAATAAATAAATTTGCTACATTTCAAATTTTATTGTATGGAACTATATCAAACTCTAAAGATGTTATATACTATATATGATGATAGTCATAATGCTAAATTTATTTAGAGTAATGGATTTGCAGGTGAATCTAAATAATTAAAATGATGACTTCTTTGAATATTCTTTATCAAAAACTGGATATAAAGAATTCATAGAAAAAAATAAATAAATAAAAATAACATCTATTATTTTGTTAATTATTTCATTATTAAACAATTTTTGTTGTTAAAAGCATCTAGCATATACTGAGATGTGTTTAATAGCATTTTAAATAAAAACGTCTTTCACAATTTGAATATATCTAGTCGTTGCTATACGGATATCGTTTTCTTCTTTTTATCACGTGCGCTTTCATTTTTTGAATTCAAAACATGGACACGCTTTTTTTGTCGTCAATTATAGGATATATAATAACGAATCAATCTAAGAGTATAAACAATAAAAATAATCATTTTGTTTGTTTGCGTGATCGTTTTTCATTCATTAGAATGCACCAAAAACGCTTTCGATTAAAAATTTGCAGATATTTTTAGATCATGCAACGATCCAAGTCGATTGAAAGCATCACATCAGCAACATCATCATGTCGAGGTGGAGAAAAAAAAACTTCACCAACACATATGTTAATTCAAAATGAAATCGATAACAAAATTTTGTTGTTGCCAGTAGCACATTTGGTTAATAGTTCAGTAACACGTATTAAAATTAATGCTACAGCAACATTCAAAAAAGATATTGATGATCGAAAGCAACATCGAGGAAAGATTATTCAGTTGGGTGAGTGTTCAAGAATCGTACATATTTTTTTTTTTGTCATTTTCCTGTTTCATAGGAACCAAGGAAATATGTATGGAGCAGCTTCAAGTTTTTGAAATGACAGCTGATGCTAAGGAAGAAAGTACAACTGATGATGAAATTAATCAAATAAATAAAAATGAAGAATATGACAAAAAAAAATGTCCTAGTAAGTGTAAACAACAACACTAATACAACTTAGTCAAAGTTTAGAATGAAAAATTATTCAACGCAGTACATAGTGAATTAAAAGCACAGTACTTCTTGTTCCAGTGGTAAAAAGATCTTGTCAGAAAATTTTCTTTATTATAGCTTTCATGTTTATAAATAAGAATCTCATAACTTGACACTTGGCTAAGAAGGTCATAATGAAACATTCTTGTCTGATACGTGCTTATTAATGCTCGCCAACAAGGAATTTAAAATATATTGAGCTTTAAATCTGTGTCATAAAAATTTTAGTAGCTGCTATGAAACAAAAAAAAAATTTTCAAATAATTAAGTTTCATATTCGAAAGAAAAATAGATGATTTTATGAAAGATTCAGCCGATTTTCTATCTTTAACTAGATCTTTCAAGAATCTTGAGATTGCTGTTGGTGCGTACAATTAGGATTCAAATAGAGTAATTTTCTGATTTTTAGAAAAACAACAAACAGCATCGCGTGGCGAATACGAATACAGCAGCACAAGTTCCAATTCAAGTATTTCGGTTAGTTCCAAGAATCAAACAACAAATATTATGAAAAAGAAGCATGATATGAAATCAAAACTTGTTCAAATCGATGAAGGAGGTAAGTCAAACAACATCATATAAATTGAGTAGTTTAGTGTTGGACTCTGTTCATTAGTTAATGAATCAAATGGTAATGAAGATCAAGTATGTCGTATTGCAACAAATAATTCATCAAATGATAAAATACCATCAACAAAATCTATACATAATTCATCAACAATCAAATCTAAAAATAATACAAAAGCTTCTTCAATGAATGGTAACTATATCTTAATTACAAGCTCGCTTAATTTTGAGTTATCTCATAGTATTTCAAACTGAACACCGAAATGAATCATCACAACCTTCCAATAGTCAAATAATTATTAATGCTCAACCTCGAAGCGTCAACAATTGTCAAAATGATGCTACAGTACTCGATTTTTCAAGCTCAGGTTTTTATGATTACTCATAATGTTAGTGTAATTGTAAATACTTGGTTCATTTCATAGGACCAGAAGAACGATTATTTGATATAAGTAACACAGAACTATTGTGTCGGTACGAATATCTGTCAAAGAGATGTAATGAGCTTTCAAAAGAAAATGCTGATTTATCACGTGAATGTGATCGTTTGACACAAGAGATTCAAATGTTAAAAAGAACGACGATGCGTAAGTGTATAGTTTTTTACTTTTATTTTTATTGTTTTATTAGAAAGCGTAGAATAGAAAAGATGTTAGAAAAATATCTTGCCATGTATGACTAGATCTTCATGATCAAGTCTATAAAGTCAGCATCAATACAAATTCACGTTAAAGAACTTTGGGTATCTCGATGCCTCCAGATATAAATGAAATATGATCAATGATAGCCAGAAATTAAGCATTAATGTGTTATTCATTTTGAAAACTAGAAAAAAAAGAATGACGAAAGAGTCTTCAAACGATACCAAAAAAATAATGATTGTATAAAACGTACTTTATTATGAGCTACTCATGTTCTATCTATCAATAATAGCGTGCTCTTCAAAAATATCAATGCTAGCTGGAGAAACTTTTATGAATGAGATAAAGCTAGTTTTTACGAATTCTGAAGAGAACATTTTAAACTTCTCAGTAGCATATAAATATTTTTTATTAAACACAAACAATATTAAAACTTAGGTAAATTTTTAGCCATACCTGATGCTGCAGGACGTCAATGGTTTATCAATATGGGAAAATTTTTTGCTAATAAAGCACCTGATTCAGATATTTCGAAATATGCAACTGCTTTGGACATAAATGATCCACGAGATCTAATTGATTGCATAGAAGATACAACATCAAATACAGCTCGACAAGTAATTCGACTTTTATATTCACCGAATCAATTGTTAACTATGACAGGAACAGAAGTACCGAAAAATACACGATTGGCAATTCGAGGTAACTAGATTTTTTTCTCATTGATAACAAAAGATTTACACTTATATTTTTTCTTTGAATAGAATTTGCTGAATCACAAAAAGGTCCAATATCAAAGCGCCAATTTAATGAAGCTATTAATGGTGTATTTCGAGCAACAAAATGTGAAATCAAAAAAAAAAAGAAGAAAGAAAATAGCTTAATGGTATCAGAAAGTAACAGCAACCTTGGCAAGCACATCAATTGTCAGAATAAAAGCTATAAAACTTCAAAACAAATGATGAATAAGCATCAACGTTCAACATCAACTGATTTAAATTCCAATAAAGAAAATCATAATGGTGAAGAAGATCCAACAGACAGTCAATGACAATAGATTTTTTTCTTATATGTTCTTTCACTTTAAATGATCTATTCTCTTACATATACTGATAATAAAGCATTATATTTAGACTAGAACTTATGATAAATCTTTAAGTTGCGTGCAATTGTAGATGTTCTCTAGAACCACCTTATGGCGTCGAAAAAAGCAACTTAAAATTTTTTTGAAAGAAATGATAGCAAAGAATGTTTCATTATTCGATGAAAAGTATTTTATTAATTGTATTAGGTCACACACAAAGTATGATTTCTATAATTTAGCTTGCTCGATTCCACATTGTCAAACCTTTCGAATAGTAATACTGATGAAAGCTTACATCAGGTACAGCATTTCAACCATTTCGAAAGTAAACCTACATTCTTTACTTAGAATTATCATTCTAATGTGCCAATAGCGAATGATGGATCACAGGATGTATCAGATATGCATGAAGATCAAATGTGGCTTGAAGAATGTGTGGATAATGATCCTTGGAAAAATGTAGAAATTGCACCAATGTTTCAATATCCTGTTATGGAAAATGACTTTTTATCTGATGAAAGTAGTCAGTAAGTCTTAATAGTATATTTTTTTCCTCATTAGACTGTAATGCATTTGTTATATATATAGGACTCCTCCAGAGAAAGATATTGCTGCAGCGCTTGTCTTATTGAAGGTATGGTTATATTTAGAAGAGAAATGGAATGATATTTGTAACAGTTATATCTAAGATGCTCTTTAGCTATATAAATCTGAAAACAATACGCACAAGAAACTCGTGGAATGTAGTCTTGATTTTTATTTGAACTCAAAATAGTTTTTATGCAAGATACATAAATAAAACCCAAGTTCTTTTGAAGAAAAAAAGAATATATATGATTGATTTCAATCGTTTTATTGAGAAGTAGGATGTATTCTACCACTTATCACGTATTCTATAATAGAACCAAAATATTCATTGTTTGTATCTCGAATAAGTTAGAATAAAAAAAAACTTAATGAAATCATACAGACACTTAACCATCGCTTAATCTTTATTATTATATAATTTAGTTTATATTTGTCTGAATTATATGAATTATAATTATCTTCAAGGAAAATTTGTTAATACAGCTTGCGTATATTAATATTTGAAACACAAAACAATTCTCATTGACATTCTCAAAAAGAGAATTGCCAAGTTGTCTGTCAAGGTCTCTAAGAGGAGTAGAAATAAACTTCTAACTTTATAAATCAACACTTGTTGTATCATCTATTTGTCAAAAAAGTCCTCATTATTCAGATGAGAGTTGGAAATAATAATTTATTGTAAAGATTTTCCTAAGATGTCTTTGCTAATGTAGAGAAATATTAAGAATTTAATCTTTATAAGCCCAGATATTATAATTTCATTTTCTAAAGGTTTTGCATAAATTTTACTTTAATTTTATTCCGAAAATATGTCTAATACTAAAAATATCATTTATTTTTGTAATAGATCCGTCATCGAATATCAACTAAAGGTATTGATGATTTATGTAAACTATTAAAAATGTTAAAAATGTCAAAGACTCCGAAAAGTTTTTATCGGATTAAACGTCTATTACTACCAAATCCTTCTGCACCAACTTCTGAATTTGTTACTTACATTTGTCCAGTTTGTTGTGAAGCAACAACATCATTGGATCACTGCAGTAACGAGCATTGTACACAACATAAACGTTTTCATGCACCACCTTTGTATTATTTACGAATGCCAATTCTTCAACAATTACGAGAAATTCTTGATCATGCACCACCATTAAATTTTGAACAACAGCAAGAAAAATCTGCATCAAATAGTGATGTAATAAATGATATATATGATGCAGAAGCCTACCAAAATATATTAAAGAAAGAGGCAGGAAAAAAATTTTTGTCTCTAATAATGAACGTAGATGGTATTCAAATTGCTAAAAACTCTAATTTATCTCTTTGGATATTCACTTTTGTTATTAACGAAGTCAAACGAAGCGAACGCTTTAGGCTTAAAAACGTCATTGTAGGCGGTATTGTATCAGCTGTATCAAAGCCCGATCGTCATCAGATGCAAGCATTGTTATCACCCATTGTTAAGGAACTTCTGGTATTGGAACAAGGTGAAATTTTTACAGTGAGAGGTCTAAATGAAAGCTCAAAATTGCATCTGAAAACATTTTTAATTGCATCGTGCTGCGATAAACCGGCACAAAGTTTAGTTCAAGGAATAAGTGAACCTACCGGAGCGTTTGGCTGCGGGCGTTGTGAACTACAAGGTAAATTTCTATGTATTCATAATTTTCTTTTGTTAATGAATCGTGTTGCTATTTTAGGTGAAACAGTGGCTATCAAAAAGAATTCACGAAAAAAAATTCGAGTTTTCCCTCTTATTCCTGATCACCAAGGACAACCACGTTTACGTACAAATAAAACTTACGACATATTTATGAAGGTTTACGCACAAGAACGTTTGTTAAATCACGTTGAGCTTCGTGATCGTTTACGAGGTCATATAAGTCCTTGTGTTCTTCGAGAGTTGACTTACTTCGATGTTGGAACTAGTTTTTTATCAGATTCGTTGCACAACGTATATCATGGTGTAATGGTAAGTGATCTTTGCATTGTTTTTCTGTGTGATAAACAAAATATTCAATCTTTTGACGTTCGCTAGATATTACAAGGACTCTATATAATCATAAAATTTTTCTTGCTAGCATTTGCTGTAGAGAAAAATGAATTCATTAGCATTGAAGTTAGATAGTAGATATGAAATTCATGAGAGAATTATCGCTTTGTTGCTAAAGATTTGAAACATTTAACATGAAAAAATTTAAGTTCACCTTATTCAAAAGTAATGTCCAAAGATTAATGATATAAATCAATATCTGTATTTTTGTTCCACTAGCATAGCATTGCCTTTTACTCATATTGATTCAATTGGAAACAATCAAATCTTCAAACTAGTCCTCAGAAAATTTAAAATGCAAGAAATGTAAAAAAAAAAACTCGATAGAAATTCATTCTGTAGGATGAAATATGTATATGTTGCGGAAAAAATGCCTAAGCTGTGTTTCTGCAGAGGAAGGCTAAATTCATATAGGATTTATATTTATAGATTTTCGCGTTTTTAGTTTTAATAGAGTTTAAAATGAATAACTGATAACTATTAAACAGAAAAATACATACCAATGTTTATGTGAATTTGCAATGTAGACCACGACCATACAATATTCTATAGACTCATACGTCTACCATACAGTTATGAGTTTTGCATCAATGATTCATTTCCACGTAATATCAATACTATATTCGTTTAAGTCACCTCTTATATATTCTACATGATTGTTAAGCATATGAACTAAAGAAAATACTTCTCAAATATTTTTCTTTCAATTTTTGGATCATTGTATCGAAATTCATGTTATAAGATGCACAAGAAAATAAAAATGCATCTACTCATTTCACTAAATGTCATCGTTTCATTGAAGACCATTGGTTAAAAATAAAAATAGTTCTTACTTCGAATTTTTTCTCATTTTTCTATTATAGACTAGAAATATTAGATTAATATCTGAATCCTTTTTGTTTAGAAACGCTTACTTCATCTTTGGTTTAATAAAAAATATAGAAAACAACCATGGAGTATTTACTCTAAGTTAAATGTAGTTGATCGTTATTTATCTTCAATAAATTATCCATCAACAACTGTTCGTATACCTCGTTCTTTATCAAAATACGAACAGTACAAAGCGAATGAACTTCGAAGTATTCTACTATTTGGTTTTCCTGCTTTATGTTCCGTCTTACCATTTCGATATGCAAGACATTTACTTTTACTTGCCGTTGGAATGCATATTTCTGAATCTCGTTGTATTCATCGCACACAGCTTGAAGACATCCACCTATTGTTCCATCGTTTTCTAAAATTGTTTCCAACTCTTTATACTCCACGATTTAATTCTCAGTCTGTTCACAGTTTGCATCATATAGCTGCAAGTGTAACTGAATACGGTTCGTTGAGCAATTACTCAACTTTTAATTTCGAAAACGTTCTAGGTATAGCAGATCATCACATAACTCTATATTTGATTCTATATTATGTAATAATCTTTTTTCTTATTCTAGGTTTAATAACTTCTACTGTTCATTCTACTCGTCGGCACGCATGTGAAATTTACAATAACTTGAAAATGCTTCGTTCAGCTATTATTGAATTTGATCGTCCTTCATTCAACAGCAATTTAAAGCGTTTCATTAATATTGCTCAATCTTTCCAAATCTTTATAGAGGAAAAACAATCAAAGTTTGAAAAGCATAAGAAACAAATATCAAAGTTAACCAGCGTCATTAATAACATTAGAATATAACTGAATTTTTTTTCTCCTAAACGATCCGGCTAGCTATATCTGAATACAAAAAAATTGTATTGATACAGTAGATGATAGTTCTA